TTCCGCTCCTGTTTACTGTATGTAAGTACTTTTCCTTCTCCGTGTCCGGTCAGCATTTACTGTTTTTTGTCTTTTTGAGAATCGTGCCTCTGACTGAGGAAAAGCATTCTCTCTCTGTAGTTTGGGTCTGCACGTCTCTCACCGTTAGTGAACCTGGGTTTACTCCCTGTGCCTCTGACCAGCCATGCACCTTCCTTTCAGAAGCGGCTCTTCAGGGCTTTTGCTCACTTATAAACTGGATGAGTACTGTTAACATCATTATTATTTTGGTACTGGGTTCCTTGCTCTAGGTACTAGCTTCCTGTCAGATGCAGAGATTTCAAATACTTTCTGCCATGTTTTACACAGTGCTTTTTAAAAATTGTTTCCTGTTCTGTGCAGGTTTCAGTTTGATGCCATCCCATTTGTGTAACTTTGCCTTGCTGCAGTTTTGGGTTCTTATCCAAAACATCCTTGCCTCATTTTCTTGTAGTACTTCCATAGTTTTGGATCTTTAATTTATTTTGGGTTGAGTTCCGTTATTATGTGACAGGCAGGGGTCCAGTTTCCCTCTTCCTCCTGTGGCTGCCCCCACACCCTGACTAAGGAGAGTCAGCCAGTTCTTGGCTTTTCTGTCCAGTGATTAAAACTTTACCCAATTCATTCCAGAATTTTGTTTTGTTTTGTTTTTCGAGACAGGGTCTCACTATGCAGTTCAGGCTGGCCTTGAACTCACTATGTAGCATAGGTTGACCTTGAACACATGGTGATCCTCCTGCCTCTGCCTCCTGGGTGCTGGAATTATAGGCATGAGCCACCACATCTGGCTTCAAGAAAATTTTCTAGATGAATTTACTTATTTTTAGTTTTTAGTTTAAATATTGCACAAGTATTAGGCATGGTTAATATTGCATTGAGTCAATTTAAGCTGTTGTTTAATGTGGCCTTAATCATAACAACAGCAAGCAAGCATACACAACAGCTTACAGAAGTGAGTCTTTACATGTTTACTTAAAGTGCTCATGGTCATGTTTTTTTAAACACAAGTTGTAAAATCCTATTTCCAGGCAGGAGTAAAGAGTCACTTCCCAACTCCAAACTCTCTAAAGCAATCTCATTTTGCTAATCATGGAGCCCATTTCAGAGTGCAGGCTGCATCCTGCTACACAGGGGACGTTACCGTCATGCCCTTGTCCCCGGGGCAGCTCCCACTGGCCTGCCAGCAGTGTGACCATGATCCTGTCCCCTCACCTGTCGGGGCACTGTGTCACTCTGTGACAGATGGGGCAATACACTTGCGGCTTCTGAGGTCCTTTTCCTTTTGATGTGCTGTAAAGCCCTGAGTAAGGAGAGAACTTCGGTGCTCTAATCCAGCCTGAAACACAGTCTGCCAGCTGACTGTGAACAACCTACAAGCCAGGGATAGCGATGCACCGTTAAATAACTGGACAAAAATAGCATTTTGGCAAAGGAGAAAATGACATGAATTTAAATCTGGGTGTCCACAAATGCAGTGTACTGGGACTCAGGCCAATTCTGTGAGCGATTTTTTTACCCCAGGCTGCCTTCATGCATACACTAAGATCCTGCAGCCTATAGGGTGAGTATGACAACTGGCTTCTTAAAGTCCAACTACAGGTGGGGCAGGAACTAAGCCCGGAGAGAAAAATAAGCTAACCAAGCTACTGGTCAGAAAATCGAAGCCTCACTACAAGAACAGAGATACAAATGGCCACTTGTTTAAAAGGGCAAAAGCAAGTAACAAACAACAAAGATTAAGGATGCACAAGTTAGTTCTGCCTCAAATGCCAAAGGATGATCAAATCAATGCATTCTAGAAAAGATGAGAAAGAAATCAGGAAATCCTCAGAGCAATTGCATTTGTTTGTATGGAAGAAGTGATATTTTCTTAATTGGGAATCCAATTATAGTGGAGGGATGAGGAGGATTTGAGAAGCAGGCAGATTGCATCAGAAATGGCTGGAGATTTTTCATACTGATAGGACTCCAGGAAACACATCTACATTTACTGGAGGAAATGGGGTGGGCATTAGAAACGCTTTAGTGACTCTTTTCAAAGGGGCAGGGCTTGCAGGGGCGAGGTGAAGCTGAGCGTGGGGACAGGAAGCCTGAGAGAGATTAGAACTTTTAGGCCCACAGGGCTCTAGTGTTAGAAAACCCAAAGCCCTGATGACACAGAGGCTCCATTGAGAACAGCCAGCTGCATGGAGAGCTTGGCTCTTGCTAATAACAGGGCCACAGACCTGGGAGGACAGCGGACAGGAGCAAAAGAGGTGCTGACGGCAGACAGACGTGCAGGGTCAGCAAGGTTCAGATCAGCTTCCGTGCTGGGGGAGAGAGACCTTTCACCCCCTATGCCTAGAGGTTGCCTGTGCTGGGGAAACAACTGGTGGTGCTTAATACTCAAACCCAATGGGTGAGGGCCAGACCTGTTTCAATCCAGAGTGGTTGTGACCCCCAGGCCCCAAAATTCCCCCATGGGGAAACAACTGGTGGTGCTTAATACTCAAACCCAATGGGTGAGGGCCAGACCTGTTTCAATCCAGAGTGGTTGTGACCCCCAGGCCCCAAAATCGCCCCCATGGCCTCACCATTAAAATGTAACAGCCGGCTCAGGTACAGGCAGGACTGACCCAGAAATCCAGATTCTACATTTAACTCAGTGGGGAAGCGGGGAGCTTGCCAATCAGGCTGCCTGGGTTGCACAGAGATCAACCACTTCAGTTCCTGGGGACCCTCAGATGAGCTGCGGAAACAGGGGCGTCTCATTGTCTTCTTTTGTAATAATGGCAGCAATAATAATGATGATGATGACGATGATGATTAGGGTTCTATCAGCTCTGCTGTCTCCGGGAGATCTGAGCAGTGCTCACTTGGGAACTGCTGAGCATTGCTTAGTTACCGTTCAGTCTCCCTGCTCTCGGCCAGCTGCTCGTTACTTATGAGTGCAGATTTGGAGGCTGAGTTCTAGATAAAGTCCTAGTGTCACACTGAGTTGCTTGTCACTGGGACTAAACAGCTGCTGCTCTGCCTACTACAAGGTCCCTGCAGTCAACCAGGGATGACAATAGCTGTGAGCTGGAGGGGCTGCTGTGAGGATCAAAGAGGGTGTAGCACAGGGCAGACACCCCGAGTTCAGCCCAGGTGATGACTTCCAAGGCATGGTGCAGCGTCCAGCACTTTGCTGTCGCCCTCACCATCACCCACAGTGTCACTGCTGGCTCCCTAATACAGAGAAACCCCGAAGATGGCCTGAAACATGGGGAGCCAAATGCAGGAGGCGCACAGAGCAGGAGAGGCCTGACTGTAAACAACCCAGCTGAAAGCAACTCTTCCAATAGGTGAGACAGTGAGGTGCAGCTTTGGGGTCCCTGGCAGGGGAGGATCGGAGCCCACCAGTCTGAGCCCAGCAGCAGCACCCGGGCTCTCCTGCTTCTTGTCTTCTGGCTCCTCCTCTGCTAGATGCTGTGAATCTTATTCTCGCCAGGCTTCCCAACACTTGGAACTTGAAGCTACTGCAGAGCTGCGAGTTCCAGGCAAAGCACACCTGTCTTCTCTTCATTGGCTGTTGAGAAGAAACCACAGCCTCGGAGGGAGAGGGAACCCTGACACCTGCCCCACCTCTCTACTCAGTGTGTGGAGCTTCTCAGTGTACGTGTGCTTATCTGACATCCCTAGATGAATTTATGCAATGTCGTCTTAGACATTTTCCTCCTCCCTGTGAGACAATGCCTGACACCCCTACCCTAAAAGAGAGGTTTATTTTGGCTCAAGGCTTTAGTTTGAGGCCAGCTGGCTCTAAGGCAGGGTGGCATGGCAGAGGGGCCTAGCAGAGGAAAGCTGCTCAGGGCATGGTGGACAGGAAGCAAAGTAGGGAGGAGCTTCCCGGTCAGGGTCACACCCCTGTGACCCACCTCTTCAGATCAGCCCCACCTCCTAACATCAAGTCACCTTCCAGGAACCCCACATGAGTGCATGAGGCTTGGGGTGCATCCAGATCTGAACCATAACTTGTGGCTTCCACAGTGACCGGGTCACAAACCTGCTCTCCTAGCAGCTTCTCCAGTAACAGCCTCAGCCCTCAGGGCTGCCAGTGCCTCCAAAGAGAGGACCCAGAAGCCGGGAGGCTGAGATCACCTGGCTGTGCCACCAAACACTGTAGACATCAGTGATGTCTTGGCGCAGACCGTGACAATCCCAGTGCTGCTTCCATTAGATGCTTAGAACTGAGACTCTTTCCCAAATAAGCCGGGTTGGAAGGCTTGTCTTTCCGTCCATTTTCCCTTGTGTCCATAACAGCAGGACACAAAGGAGCAAAGGGCAAAGGGGACCCCTGGACCATACATACAATTTCACATCATCTTACAGTAGGGAAACTCAGAAGATGGTGACATGGCCAGGTCTCACAGCTGAATTCCAGCCAGGCCAGGCAGGACCTCAGAGGAATGTATGCTTCCTGTAACTATAACAGGCCAGCTTGTAAAGAGGGTTACCTAACTCAGAGTTCTGAAGATTCAAGGGCAGGGCCCTGGCACCAGCTCAGCTCTGGTGAGAACATCACAGTGGGTCCCAGGAGTACATCTAAGGGGAATTCAAGGTTCAAATTCCCTCTCAGAGCAGTACTCTATGGCTTGTGTCTAGATGTCCCACAAAGCCTCATGTGGGCACAGGGGGCGCTTTTCAGAGGTGGCTGGATCTGGAATGTGTAATGCCGGGATTGAGTCATAGAGCAATGCTAGGATCCAGGGCACTAGGATTAAGGGTATGTGTCACCTGTCCTTGATGAAATGTAAGGGACAGAAAGAGCTGTGGCTGCCCCTTGTTTGCTTATGCTGTCTTCTGCCTGCCAAGGCTGTTCCTCCTCGGTGATGCCCCTCTGCTGTGCCACCCTGCCTTGCAGCCACTCATTATGGGCTGAAACCTCTACAAGTTGTGAGCTAAAAAAACCTTTCCCCTTTAACTCTGGGTGTCAGCTATTTCTCCTCAGAGAGAAAAGTAACTAAGGCAAGCATGCTCTCTTTGCTGAGTGTGATGGCACCTGCCTGTAGTCCTGTCTTTACCAGTTTTGATAAAAAAAAAAATATGGCAAATGCTGCTGCCAAGTAACATCCAACAGCAAATCAGGCTTATAAAATGTGATACTGTGTCCTCCTCCACCTTGTTCCCAGGCCTGGCATCATGCGGCTTCTGACTCTTCCCCAGACTGAAAATAACCATGACAGCCATGATGGAGCAACTTTAGGCACTCATGAAAGAAGACTCTCAGAACTGCTTCAGAAAGTGGCAAGAACGATGGGGTAAGTGTGCTTTTGATGTAAGGGGAGGATTCTGACGGGGACGAATGGCCATGTTCTTTATTGTAATAATTTTAACAAAACATTTAAACATTCACTGTCCTTTCCAATCATACCTTGTATAGCTGGTCTAGCACTCTGGACCCAGTAGAAACTACTACAGGACCAATAAGGCAGTCTCTCTGATGTTACCCTCAAAAGCCTGGAGGAGGACACCCCTACCCCTGCAGATCCACTGATGACCTCTCAGGCACAAACTGACCGTGCCACATCTTTTAACAGAGGCACTCACATTGGTGCTGGCTGTGTCACCTCTGGGTGGAAACAGTTCTTAATCTGCCATGCTGCACACTTCCTCTGGCTTGCCCTACAGTTCCCTCTCTCCCATACCTGGGCCGAGTCCCCGGTGCTGTGTGTCAGTGAACAAGCCCAACCTGATCTGGTTGAAACACCCCTTGAAAAAACAGCTCCTGACTTGACAGCCCTGACAAATGACGCCAGCATAGCAAACAGAGCGGCCAGCTATCCAGTCCGTTAAAATCCTTTCAAGGCAGGGGCCACCAAAGGTCTTGGTTGTGCAGTGGTTTTCCACTCTTTTGTCAGGAATCCTCCAGCAAGGGTGCTGAACATTGGCATTTCTGAGCAGCAAGAGTAGGGGATGCTTGTTTCTTCAGCGTCTGCCATGTATCCCTGCCCTTGCCTGTCCTGAGTGTGGTGCTTCTCATGGGACGTGGACCCTCCACGTTGGCTCCTGACTCCCTGAGGCAGTCCGAGCCTCCTCCTGCTTAATCCTCCCCTGCAGGGCTCAGAGCTGCATGGTCCACCTTCACTTGCTCCCTTCTTTTATCCATCACAGGAACGGCCCTGCACATCTCCTCCTTACATGTGTCTGCTTCTTGGTGCACTCTGGAGCCTCCTTCCTCCGCGTCAGAGCCACCACTTTCCTAACTGTTCCCCCTGGTGTTTCACATGTGCTGAGTCATGGATGGGCAGTAAAGCATCCTCACTCCTCCTTCCACCTGCTCCAGCTCTGGCTTCCTTGAACAAAGCTCACAACCACAAACCTGGATTCTCCAGAAGCCTTATGAGGCTGCATAATGCTGCTGCCACCTCTGCCCCAACTTGTGGGTCCCTGACACCTGCTTCCTATGGATGGCCCAGAAGTCAGGGCACACCAGAACCCCAGGATGGCCAGGAGTGACACCTGGTACAGACACACATATACAGGACAGGCTTGGTGCTGTGGTCAGCCCCCTGCTTCTGCTTTGTCCAAGGCTGTGGTGTTGAGCTGCCTTGTGCTTCTCTTATGAGAAGAGGCCTTTTTCTTTTCACCCGCCATCTCCTTCCCTTAAGAACTTGGACCCACTTCTGAGCTAAAGAAATGGCTCCATGACTGCTACGGTTAGATCTAAAATAGTCCCCAGGGCCTCACATGCTTTCATCATTGGCATCACAGCTGACTGGCTGGTAGGAGGTCAGGTCTGGCGGAAAGATGTGGTCACCAGGGATGTGGCCTGGGAAGGCTCCTCTCCCTCCCCAGCTCCTCCTTTTCTCCCTACTTCCTGTCTCTCATGCTGTGAGCAGCTCTCTTTCCCCAGACCCCTCTGCCAGGCCACCCTGCCTTAGAACCAGTGGTTTACAGACTGAAACCCAAGTCAAAGTGAACCTCTCCCTTTAGTTGCACGTGTTGGGTATTTCACTCCAGCAATGGGAAAAATGACCCAGACTCACAGATGATGCTGCCTTTAAATTGCACTTCTCTTATGACATCGAAGGAGCCTGGCTTTCTTACCTATTCGATGAATGTGTTCTTAAAAGCTCCTTAATCCTTTAATCAAAGAGTCTTCTTGTGAGTTCCTACAACATTTAAATTCTATAGCTATGGTACCATAGGCTTAAATGGGGTCTACCGGATTGTGGGCTGCTAGCTGGGTTGTTTGGTTTGTTTCGTGTGTGTGTGTATGTTTGTGTGTGTGTGTACCTGTGTGCACCTGACATCTCAGCCATCCTGATCCATGCCATACCTCACCTGTCACTGCCCACAAGATCACCCCTGTTGCTTCAGCTCTCTGCCTCCACTTCCTAATATTGTCTATCACTACTGTTTCTGCTTGACTCTCTTTCATCTACCTTTCTTTCTTTCTCTGTTTTTTTTTCCTCCTTTCATTTTTGGTCATTCTGTATTTCAAGGCCTTTGGGGACATTTCTAGGGCCGACTTTGTACTCAATTACAAATTCACAGACACTGGGACAGCACAGTAAGACTTACAATCCCCAGGCGGTGCCATCCAAGTTCAGGAAGCAGGAAACGAAACTAGCTGTTGTTTACGCCAGAGGAGCAGCTCCTAGTAGACTTGGGAGAGTGCCAGAAAAACACGAATGGCCACGTTGGTTGACATTTTTAGACTGACAAATGTACACAGACCCAAAATAGGCTGAGTGGTGACAGCAGACACTGTTGCTTCTAGCCGAGCTGTCTGCATTTTTTGGCTGACCCTGCACCCGTCCTCTTCTTTCAGTGGGCTTTTACCTCTAACAGCTTGCAAGGGAGGTGCTCTCCTTGGACACGCCCCTGCATGCCTGGAACACTCCCCGGATGTGCGGAACCCAGGATCCTAAGCCTCCCTAGGCCACCCTGGTCCCCAGATCAACTGGGTTGGGGGAAGGGAAGCACAGCTCCTTTGCCTGAGGTTGGGACAATTTTAAAAGACTTGTAGAGAGTTATGCCATACTGCTGTCTGATGGAAACATTAAATACTGAACATGAACATGTTTATTAAACATGAAATGTTTAATAAAATTCTCATGAAATTCTCAATGAGACTCTGGTTGAGAGATGTAATCAAGATTGTACAATTCACACACAAGGACAAAGACATGAGAAAAAATCAGAAAACATTTCTGTGAAGAGTGAGGGGAAGAGAGAACACAGGAGCCCTCTCTCACCAGATATCAAATGTGTTATAAATTACAGCAATTGACTCTATAAGCAATGAATAAAATGACTTTGGCACAGAGTGATTCAACAGAACAAAGAGTCCAGAAATAGATTCAAACAATCATATACCGGAACGATAACAGTGACAGATAGACAGATAGTATCATGAAGATATTAATACACACTGTCGGGACTAACAGGAAAATTCACCCCCAATTTAAATACATCTCAAGCGAATGAAAATTGAAAAAAAAAAAAAAACACTTTCATCATCTTGCAATGAAAAATGAGCAGTTCTGATAAACACAATCAGGAAATCTGAGGGAAGATATAAAATATGTCTGCGTAAAGACATAGGAGAGTCAAAAAGTTAGGGAGCAGTAACAGGGTGGAGGCTGAGAGAGGGAAATGCCCAGGGCTCAGTAGAGTGATACCCTACTCTTAGGAGCGTAGCCAAGTTCAGAGCCTGGGCTGGACAGGGAAGTACTTAGGCGCTGCCAGATGCTAAGGAAAGAGAATTTGGGGGGTGCAGGGGTAACAGGAAAAGGAAACATCTGCAAACTCCCAGTGTATCAGCATGGGATTCTGAAAGGATTGTGAGCATGGGAGTAGATGAACCCTCATATTGAACACGATCTCCAATCATTTCAACCCCTGAAACTGGATTACACTGATCCTCAATTCCTAGCACTCAGGAAGCTGAGGCAGGAGGATCCCTATGAGGGCAGCCTGGGCCACACAGTGAGTTCAAGGCCAGCCTGAACTACAGAGAGATATCTGGTCTCTAAACAATAACAATAAATAATACAATGATCCTGAATTGTTTGAGCCCTAAGGTGCCTCCTTTTTCTTGGTGGTACCAGGGATCAAACTCATGACCTTGCACTTGCCAAGCAGGCACTTATGCCATTGAGCTAAATCCCTGGCCCTAAGGTGCCTCTTAGAAGCAAATATAAATCCTTTCTCAGGGAAGATAGAATCCTCATGATCCTAAATTATTCTATAATTTGTATACAGGATGTCTGAAAACCAACAAAACTAACTAAGCACACAATACCAGATGATATTCCTAAAACCCATAAAAACAACAGAAAAGGTCCGCATGGAACAACAGAAACATCCAGAGGAAATACAGGAAATGGACTTATCAAAGATTTTAAAACAAATGTGCTTACTATGCTTAATGACATTAAGTACAAGACTGATAAATTGGTACAGGATTACAAACTGTAAAAACACCTACCAAATGGAAGTTCTAAGTCTGAGAATTAAAATGACTGAAATCGAGAACTCAATGGGTGAGTACAACTACAATTTAGACGAAATTTAAAAAAGGCTTAGTGAACTGAAAGCTAGCTCAGGATGAAGCACATGGGATGAAAAACCAGAAAAAAGTGTTAAAAACAGTACAAATGGTGGGCTCAGTGGCATGCATCCCAGCTATTTGAGATGCTGAGGCAGGAGGGTTGCTTGAGCTCAGGGGCAACAAAGATAGACCTGGGTCTGAAAAAACAAAAGGACAGAATAAATTTTTCTAGCATGTGTATAAGCAGGGTTTCTATAGAAGAGAAACCAGGATAGGGCAGAAGCAGTGTCTGAAGAGATGATGGTTGATAACTGCCTGAAACTAATAAAAGACAGAGAAGTACTATGATTTCAAAATGTGACAAATCAAATGGTGACAGCAGAACTTCTCAAAGCTAAAGACTAGAGAAAAAATTAAAAGCATCCAGGGAAAAAGGCACCTCTAAAAGCACAACAGAAACTGATGTCATCTGGAGCTATGGTCAGAGATGCATTTCCCAGCACTTGGGAGGCTGAAGCAGGAGGATCCCAAGTTTGTTTGTTTTTTTCCAGTACTGGGGATTGAACTCACAATTGCCTGCTTGCAAGGCAGGTATTTATGCCACTGAGCTAAATCCCCAGCCCCTAGGACCCCAAGTTTGAACCTAGCCTTAGGAACTTAATGGCTTACTGTGACCCTGTCTCAAAATAAACAATAAAAAAGACCAAGAATGTAGCTCAGTTAGAAGACCCTGGATTCAATCTCCAGGACAGAAAGAAAGAAACGAAGAAAGAACGAACAAACCAGTGAATGGGATCTTCCAAATGCTAGATTAGTGAAGGGGGGTGTTCTGTGACTGGAGACCCGCACGAAAGAAGCTGCACGGGTACTCTCCACAGAGGAGAAGTAGCTCACCAAGAGGGCTCAAGATGCAAGAAAGGATGAAGAGCACAAAAGGTAACTATGTGGCTGATTTAATGACTGCTGTCATAGTCAGGGGGTGCAAGAACAATGGCATATGGACCCGTAATTTATAGTATTATTTATGATGGTCATCTTGAGTTAAATACAAGAAAGTGCAGGGCATCTGTCCACAACACTGAAGACCTAGAAAATCTAGCCAAGGGCCTGGATTATACAACAATGTCCTGCATGAGTCCATAACAATGCCTCCCGTGAGTCCCACTGGAGGTCTAGAGCCCATGACAGTGTATGCAAGTCTGCTTCATAGATCTGCGCTGGGAAGGCCCCAAGGTCAGCGGTGGGAGCTGGAAAGTCTGTGTCAGTGGAAGGAAGGAGCATGCCAGCTGGCTGAGGGCTCTGTACTGTAGCCAAAAAGCAACCCTCAAAAAAGGATCAGGGCTCCCCTGAAAAGCACCACAGCCATCCTCAGTAAGATCCTGAGCTCTTTTGACAATGACAACAGCCAAGTTCATATCAGGAAGCCAGTGTGACAAGCTTCTCCTGGAGACTGAACAGCACACACCTTCCCCTCTGGAGCCAGGAAATGATGCTGAAAGTAAGGACTCGAGCTCCCCTAAAGGGAACTGCAGCCATCCTCAGTGACAAGGGCCCAAGTTTCTCCAATAAGAATTGCCCAGTTCGTATCAGGGAAGCCAGCATGACAAGTTCCTTTAGCAGAGCCAACAGCTCCAGACAGTAACACTTAGGAAAACCCACAATGCCTCCCTTTTCATGTCTCTATTTATGCTGGCAACTTTCTTCAGCTGGCCATCTACACTCAGCATGTAGATCATTTAATTCAGCTGCTGTGCAGTAGACCACTAGTTTTTAACTCATAACAACTACTTATTGAACAAAACCTAACAACAAAATGGAGTACTACTCAGCCTTAAAGAAGGATAAGCTTGATGTAGTGCTAGGTAAATGGATGCACCTTGAGAACATACTCTTGAGTGAAATAAATCAGATACACAAGTGTAAATATTGCATTCTTTCTATGGTGTGAGAAATGCAAAGTGCAAATAAGGACTAAAATGTACAATGGGTATTGTGAAATAGGAAGAAAATGTTCAGATGGGAAAGGGAACAGGGAGAAGGCAAGGCAAAGAAAAAAATCAGAAAAGAAAGAAAAAAGGAAAACAAAGCCTTCATAAATAAGGAGAGGAACAGGTGTGGAAGGGAAAGAAGGAGAATGATGACAAGCAGCAGCAAGACACATCATGTATAGGTTCAACTTCGCCGTGATGAATGTGGCCACTGTGTGCATCTAAGATGCACTAATGAAATTTCATGTAAAAATACAGAGTTAATAGTGTAAATTACCTCGTCGGTTAGTGGGTTTGTCTTTGCTGCCTGATGCTAATAGCCTAAGAATCACTAAAAGGCTTGCTCTCTTCTCTATGGTAAGTAAATTGCCACTATTTTACCATCTTTCTAGACATTGCTTAAATTAAGTACTTAAATGAGTTTTTGTTTTTATATCACTTTGTTTTTACTAAAACTCCTTATGAAGTTCAAATCAATGATTTGGAGGTGTTTCCAACCTCAAACATGTTATATATGTATTCGTTTTTTGGTATATAGTACTTACATCAATCAATGTATGACACTTTGAGACACAAATATGAGTTAATAACATCATTACAGAGTATTGATAGTCTTACCAGGGGTAGCATAATTTTATAATGTAAGATTTGGGTTTTGTTATCAGTTCATCACATATGTTAATATAACTTCTGAATAAAACATTACTGGAGATAGTTTATTCTAATAATATATTTTTTTAATTGTACTTCAGGGTTGGGGATACAGCTCAGTGGCACAAGTGCCTGCCTGGCAAGTGCAAGGTTGTGAGTTCGATCCCCAGTACCAAAAAACAAACAAACCAACAAAAATTTCAATGTACAAAAATAGTTTCAAAATCTGTTTAAAGAATAAAGCTTTAAATTCCTTATCAAAAAAAAAAAATAATGAAGAAGAAAAAACATAACAAAGCCTTCGGGTGAAATACAGACCAAGAACTGAACAAAAACAATGCCCCACAGACAGTGAGATATCAGTGGGGTGCAGAGGCTCTTACTGACCGCGGGAGATGCAGTCAGACCAGCCCAAAGGCCCTGCACTGCAGTCACCACGGCCAGCACAATGCACAGCCCAACTTACACACAGCTAGCGAGCCGCCGGCAGGAAAACACAGCTGTGAACACTGAGCCCCGGAGCAGGCAGGCAGGGAGAAGAGCAGCATGCGGCCAGGACGGAAATGCGAAAGCAGTTAGGAAAATCACAGATTCGCTCTCAAGGCTCTAATTGAGCAACAGAATCTGCCAGACAGGATCTTTACACAGTCCCATATGCTGCTTACAAAAGACTCAGTACGTCAAAAGACGTACAAATGGATGGGAAGACTTGCTTGCGGCACCACTTGGGACAGCTATTTTCTCTCTCGAAAGGAGTAAGGAAAGGTCTCTGGGAACCGTAAAAGGAGCAAAATGAGGGGAGCTGACTGGCGTGGGAAACTCTTCAGAGGAGGCCTCCACACAGAGACCAATGAAAAGACTCTTGAAGCGCTATTTCGATCATTTGGATCCACAGCAGAAGCTCTTTAGATAAAGGATTGGGAAACCAACAAGTCCAAATGCTTTGCTTTTATTACCTTTGAAAGAGCTGTAGATGCTAAGGTTGCTGCCAAAGAGATGAATGGAAAGTCTTTGAATGGAAAATCAATCCAAGTAGAAGGCAAACAAATGCTCCCGAAAGTGGCAGTAATCGAGGACGACCTCTCTCAAGGGACAGAGGCCATATGAGAAGAGTGAGACATGGAGGAGGAGAAAATGATGGAGCGAAACAGCCTCCTTCATGTGGAGGATGCTCGGATGACGGAGGATGTAATCACAGTCTCAGCACGAGTTCTTCTGGGGAACTCTTCCCAGTTAAAAGGTGTCCTTCTTCACGAAGTGGAGGGTCTTCTTCTGAAAGAGCTACTCTTTTTGCTCCTTCAAGATGCACTCATCGGGTTGGGAAGATGAGCTCCAGAATTGCGTGGTAGAGAGAAACACAAAAAGCCCGTTTCTTCTCAGAGCAACGATTATGCTATCGCCAAGAGATGAAAATTACTCTGCTGAAGACAGATCTTCAAGCGGAGTCTATGCAAGTTCCTGATACACCAAAGATCGTGCTTCACCACCTAGAGACTACGAACACCACAACTGTGGCTGTTATTTTTCTCCAGATGAACATTCTTCTAAGGCCTATAGTGATCATGGTGGCTACGGTGGCGGATGAGGTAGAGATTACTCTGAACATCCACGTGGAGGCACTTACAGAGTTGTGAACGAGAGTTACGGGTGCTCCACAGGAGAACCCCACAGACTTATGATGGAAGCAGTCGCTCTGATGGGTCTACCAACATACAGGATAGATACAGTGGACGTATGGAGAATTATTCAAGCATTCAAAGTGATACTTACTGATGTGGTCATGAGCATAGAGGTAGACCAGAATGGCGGATTCCATTTTTCTATGGAGAAGATGTATCCTGTTTCCCGTGACTTATATACTAGCTCAAGGTGTGGAGGGTCCATTGGACCTTTATCTGAAAGAGGGGACCGAAGCACTTATGAAATAATTATGTACCAAATCTCCTTTCTAACATGAAAATTAAACGCTATTTTGCCTACGTTACCTGAACACTACTAAACTACGTTGCTTTGGGGGTGTGCTGAGAGGCATATGGTAACGCGTGAAAATTTTGGATTCAGTGATAAAAGAATTGTTAAGAATAATTCCATTAATTGTTAATGTTAATTAAAAATAAAAGCTGTTGGTCTTATATATCTGCATTGTTACATTTTTTCAGATGAAAATTCCATTAAACAGCATTTCCTGTCCAATGATTTATCATCTCACCCAAGAATAGATTTGTTTGGAGGGTGAGTTGGGACATGTATATGTAATTAACATCTTTATAACATGAAGCATATGTAACTGCTTATAACCAGCTGTATGTTTTCTAGCCTTACACTAGACCAATCAAATCACATATTGGCCTGTAAAAACTTAAATGAAAATGTTTTAGAAGTCCCCCAAAAGTCTACAAACTAATATAGATGTTACAACTGAAAAATTTCGTTTATCCTTTAGAGGACTACTATAGATGTGAGGGCAAACAAAATTTTGTATAATACTAAAGTTTAAGTGTTACTAAGTTGAAAATACTAGAAATAAGGTGTTTTGAAACAAACAAAAAAAAATGAATGGAAAAAAGGCGGCTAGAACTGTTCTACAGAAATACAACCAAAGTAGAATTTTAAGGCAATGAGTAATCTAGAGCTACAGAAGGGTGATTCATAATGTCAAAATCTTTAGCTCACTGGGAAAATTTTGCAAGGTTCTATACCTTGAATAACAGTTGAAACAAATGAAACAAACTGATAAAACTCAAAAATAAAAGTTTTTCCTATGATCTGTGGTAAATGAATACTTAAAAACCTTATAACTGTTGCAGATCAATTCTATCATAAAACTATAATTTAAAAGTGGATTAATGCCTGGCAAGTGTGAGGTTATGAGTTTGATTCCTGGTACAAGAAAGGGGATTAATAAAAAAGGAAAAACACAAAACACAAGTCCACTGATCATATGCATGGATATCACAGCATTTGTCAAATTGTTGTGATAAAACTGTGATAAGACACCAGGCATGGTGGCACACTCATGCCATCCTAGAATTCAGAAGGCTGAGGCAGGAGGATGGCCATGAGTCCAAGGCCAGCCTAGACTACACAGTGAGCTCAAAGCTAGTCTGGAATACAGAGTGAGACCCTGTCCCCAAAAATTTATAAAAGAAAATGAAATAAAAGAGCTAATAAAGTTGCTAAATGCTTATTTCAGTGTATGACTTACCTGTTCTTGGACAGGTGATGGTTGACTCAATCACTCAATCAAGCAAACCACACTTCAAACAGCACTGAAATACAAAATGTGACAACCAAAATGAGAAGTTGGCACACTTCTCCACAGAGCTGATAGAAGAAACATACAAAATCTTTGAGCAAGATGACTAATAATTTAATCTAAATCACATCTAGCAAACACTGATGGGTATTCTTTTTAAGCACACAAGGAATAAACAAAAATGGCCCATATGCCGTAAGATAAAACTCATACTAAATGTGTTCTCTGGCATAGCCATTAGACAAGAAATCAATATTTTTTAAAGCTTGACTAGAAACTCCATGCATTTGGAAATTTAAATCTGAATAACCCATGGATTAAAGAGATTATATCTGTAATCTCAGCACTCTGGGAGGCTGAGGCAGGAAGATTACCAAGAATTTGAGGCCAGCCTGGTATACAAAGTGTGTTCAAGCACAGCCTGAACTGTAATGAGATTCTGTCTCAAAACAAACAAACACAAAGAAATTGTAAGTATAATAAACAGAAAAAACTAGAAGACACTGAAAAGTAGTGGTAAAAAAGATTAAATGCAATATAAAATGTTAAGAAATCATAATACTAAGAGAAAATACAAGCAAGTAGTTTTTTTCAAGTAGTTGAGATACCAACAGCCAAGTATGGTGACTAAGGCAGAAACTAGGAAGGAAACAGATTAATTAATGTATTTACTTCTGGGGAGCGGGATACCAGGGATCAAACTCATGATCATGTGCTTGCCAGGCAGGCACTTATGCCACTTAGCTAAATCTCTGGCCCTTTTTTGCCCGTTTGAGACAAGGTTTCACTATGCAGTTCGGGCTGGCCTTGGGTTCACCTTGTAGCTCAGGCTGGTCTGGAACTTGCAGTAATTCTCCTGCCTCAGCCTCCTGAGGGCCGCAATTACAAGCATGCACCACCACACCTGGCTTCTATTTACTTTTAAAGAGTTATCTATGTCAAAATCACTAAAAATAATAGCAAAGACAACTGATCACACAAGCAAAATATCTGCAAGTTCCAGGTCAAGGAGACTGCATCATTCCTACATAAAGAACATTTGCAAACTTGCTAAGATCCAAGACAAGAAAAATGTCTGATCTCACTAGTAATACACCTTCAAATCTGAGTTGTCATTTTGATCCACTGTACTTACAAAGACAGTGCCTGCAAGCTAAGCATAGGTAATAAAAGCAGGAGGATTTTTTTTTTTTTTTACGGGTACCGGGGATCGAACTCATGACTGCCTGCTCACAAGGCAGGTGCTTATGCCTCTGAGCTAAATCCCCAGCCCCCCAGGAGGATGTTTTTTCTGAAGAAGATTTGACTCTATGCATAAAAGACTGAAACACAAAACATTCAACTCAGGAAACCCACTTCTTGGAATTTGCCCTTGGGCAATAATAATAGATCTATGCAAGGATGCTTTTATAAATTTGCTTATTATCACTGATAAGAGTAGGATGACCCTATGAAAATATCCAAAGTTGAAAGGACTAACTAAAAATATCTTGGGGGATTGGGAGTATAGCTCAGTGGTAAAAGTGAAACTAAAAACCATTTGTTTTGGAGTAAAGAAATACAATTTATCCATTTCAGTGAACCTGGCCAGGGTGTGGCTCCCTGGCAGCCACAGGCTTAGCATGTGCAAGGCCATGGGTTCAATCCCCAGCACCATACAGAGAGAAAAAAATAACACAGGAGAATATTAACAAGTGAAAAGTGATGTGCAACACTTCAATAAGAAAATAAAGCAAAAGTGTCATCCTTTTTTTTTTTTTTTAATGTGTGGTTACTCGAGGTAACAATTCATTGTGTTTAGAAGTAGTTTTTATTTTAGTCACCTTTATTAATCTATATTTTCTGTAATATCTCAAGAAAATACACATTGCTTTTCTTCTGTAAAAAGGTCAAGATCTCTTTTGCTTTCAAAATTTCACTTTTGTTTTCCCATTGAAAACAAAGTTCACAATTATCTATAGAGCTCATTAGTTACTGACTCAGTCTTTATTCTGTAGTGCTCAGGTCTTGAACTTGCTGTCACACCTGTATTTGACACAGAAGTTGAAAGGCATTAACTTGTTTTTGTTTGCACAAGAGTCTTGCTATATAGTTCAGGCTGGCCTTGATCTTGCAGAAATCCTCCTGCCTCGGCCTCCTAAGTGCTGGGATTGCAGGCATGCATGGCCACTCCAGCCTTAAACTTATTTATATCTCAGTAGAAGCAGCTTTTTATTCTGATTTTTTTCTTTTCTGCTTATCACAATATATGATTTCCTCTAGGAAGTGGAACACCTTTTCTAAGCTTCCTGCTAAACATCATCCCTTCACCTATGTAGTAAACATGCACGAAGCACATCGTGGAACCTGGCTACATGATAAAGAACAAGAAAACATGGTCAGCGGCCCAGCACCACTGCAGCGCTGTGCAAAGACCCAGTGTCACTGTGACCAGGTGAGTCACATGCAGCCTGGGAGCCACACTGCCAACCCCCCAGCAACACGCAGAACCCCACTCACTAGCATGAGCCACATGACTGTGGCCTGTACTGAAAAGTAAAACATTTTGTCCTCAAATTTTTTTTCATCCTTTTGCAGCATGTAATGACCAGGACACCTCTCGCTGAAGGTGGTGCATGTGCACACACACTCCTCTCCTCCCCTCCCTCCCGCCCTCCATCTCTGCTTCCCATCTGAGAAAGATCGAACTCCACACTTCTTATCTACCTTTTATTTTGCTCTTCATTTATAATTTATGTTTCTCAAAGAAGAGAAACATGTGCTATTTAAGCTTGTGTCTGGTTTTAAGGTACATCCATTTTCCTACAAACGATCCAAGTTTATCCTTCTTATAGCACAGTAGTACTACATTCTGTGTAAATACTTTCTTTATCCGCCTGGTAATGGACATGCAGGCCACTTCCAAGATTCAGCTACTATGAATTGTGCTCCTAAAGGCATATGGGTATACAAGCATCATGTATCCCTGCAATGACATCTTTCACCGTTTCAGGAAGATACCCAGTGGGAATAGCTGGGTCAAGTGGAATTTCTAATTTTAGATCTTTTGGGGACTCTTCCTGCTGATCCATAGCAACTGTACTGGTTTCCATTCCCACCAACAGTATAGAAGAGTTCCCCGCACCCCAGCCTTGCCAGCATTTGTTACTTGGTTTCTTGGGGATGGCCATTCTCTCCAGAGTAAGATGGGGCCTCGTGTTGCTTTAACTTGCATTTCTCTGGTGGCCAGCAGAGCTAAGCATTTCTTCATACACACAGGAACCACAGACACTAGGCAGGTGCTTCTGAGAAGGGCTGGATCGCTTCAGTTGCCCATTTATGGGCTACACCTTATTTTGGAGGTTATCTTAATTTTCTGTGTTCTTTATATACTCTAGATAATTGTCACAGTTTTTGAGTCTAGGGTGAAAACTGCGGATCTTTTCTAAAATAAAAGAATGCACAAAGCTGCTGACAGTCTTGCTGTATAGAACTAGAAGAGGCAGGCAGGCTTGAGGAACAGCTGTGAGTGGGAGGCACTGGTGCAGGAGCCCAGGGTCTCACCCCCAGCGGACGGCGCTGGCAAGGCTTAGTTTCCCCCTGCAGTGACTCAGCATGCACTGGGAGAGCCCTGCGCTTGCCGGTCCACTGTTCAGCAGGACAGCACAGTTGCTCACAAGCAACAACATGGCAGGAGACTACTGAGCATCCCGGCTTTCTCTCCTGAAGTCAGTTTTCCACTTGGAAGGCTCAAGCGCCAGGCTATCTGTCCACACCACATGCCAGGTGACGCCGGAGGACAGCAGGATGGGACTGTGGAGTCTGCTCTGGGACATGCAGGTCTGGGAGCAGATGAGATACAGGCTGCTCTGGCTGTCTGCCTGAGAAAGAGAATTCCACTAAACCCAGCAGCTTAAACCCATGAGATGCTCACGAAGCTTTCGCGGGTCTGAGGCTGTGGACAGCTCCTGGCTTCGGGGCACTTGGCTGCAACAGCTGGGAGTGGGGCTGGGACCAGGGGGTCCAGGCAGGCACAGCCCCGCGGGGCTTTCTCCATGTGGAGACGCAGGACTTGGGAGTCCAGGCTGAGTGGTTCACAAGATAGCAGATAGCTTCCAGGGTACAATCTTTGTGTGTTAGCCTTGGTGGTACCTCTGCTTGCATCCTATTTCCCTCCGTTCAGAGCAACTCACAGGGCCAAGGCCGACACAGGATGACACAGCAATGACTATGAAGTCCTAGTATGCAAGGGCCACCAACCCAGTGTCTGTCACAGGAAACAAGACCAGGAAACACAGGCAGGCCAGAGAGAGGCTGGGGCAGGGGAGGGCAGAGGCTGGGACAGGAATGCAGCCACCACTACAGATGTGGCCCGACTGGAGTCAGGGATTGGGCAGGGGGATCAAGCTGGAGAGGGACCAAGTGTGGTGGCAAAGCCAGGAGAGGAGAAGACAAATCACAGGCACTAGGCAGGCAGCGAGCCAGAGAAGCTAAGCAAAGATAGAAAAATGGCTGATTCCTCCCAAAGGGAAAAGTTGAGGAGAAAACACTCGAATCCACGGGCCACTAGCGTTGAAACTGGATTTCTGGTCCCTTTCTTCTTTCACTGAGGTCAAGGGCTCTTGGTGTCCTTCTCAGCACCCTGGCCCCAGACCTGCACTGGGATGCTCTGACTTGAAGATAGGCATTTAGCATACCTGGGGTTCTGGTTTCTGACCTGAGATGCATAAGGTGTTAGTGCAAAGGTGAACACCAGTAATGTGACCTGCAGGCTTAGGTAGCCAGGAGGGCAAGTCTCATGAGGTTGAGAAAGCCTCACATGATCCTCTGAGCTCACCACCGGTCCCTGCCCCAATTCCCACCCTAGGCGCGCTCAGGCTGGCCTGCCTGTGGTTCTCGACAAAGCCCTTGCCAGGAGCTAGAGCTCCGCCTGGCTGTCCCCACGGCTCCTGCATGGGATCTGCAGATGTGCGCGATAACCACGGCTCATGGAGCATTTCTACCACCATTTTCTTGCTGCAGCCCAGCCTAGTCCTGCTGGCCATGGGACAATGCCTGGCTACCTCTGCATTTGCATTCTGTCACTGCCATCAGTCTGGGGCTTGTGTGACGTACTGCATTGACCCAAGACCCCAGGATGATTCTAACATGTAGAGGGAATGGAATCACCCTAGGCTGGAACTGGCCCTGCCAGAGCCCTGATGGGTGCTTACCTTCTCCCAAGCTCATCTGCACCTCTCAAGCCCATCTTTCTTATCTCCCAGACGCTGGGGCCTGGGGTGCAGAAGCTGCAGCTCCAGGCAGGCACACAGGTCGCAGGCCTCAGGTCTCAGGCCGCAGGTCTCATGAGCTAAGACACCAATGGGCTTTCTCAGGGGAGGAGACTTGGTCTGCGACTCCCACTGCTTGAGGACAGTGTTTGGGGCGGGGTCGTGGCTCCCTTTATCCTGGAGGCAAAGGCTGGGAGAGTCCTGGGCCCCGGTGTCACCACTCTCTTCATTACTCATCAAGTGGCCCTGCTTTCTGGAGAACCACGAAGAATACTGGATTGCACTCAACTGCAGCTGCCACTGGCTGGGTAGCATCAGCAGGAGAAAACAAATGTTGTGAGGTCGCTTTTGAGAACCTGAATATATACATGGATTATATTTGAATTTTTCATTTGAAGGACGTCACAAGCTTTTTTTAAAAAAAGCACATAAAACCAGATTCACTGGCAAGCCACTGAGACTCTCCCTTTCTCCCTCAGGGATAGATCATTCCAGGAAATTCCTTATTTCCTCATGGAGAAACTTTTGATTTGTACTAGAAGTCTGTCTAGGGTTCTTTTTGGTTGTTAGGTTTCTTGACACAGGGTCTTAACATGCAGTTGAGGCTAGTCTCGCCCTTACTATGTAGCCCAGGTTGGCCTCCAACTCACAGCAACGCTCCTGCCTCAGTTTCCCAAGTGCTGGGATGACGAGCTACTACACCTGGCTTTTCTCAACACTGGCTGCTGTTTTATTTACTTCAGAATCTGTTCCCTGAGCACCTCATGTCACCGTAAAGTCTCTGCAGAAACAATTTCTCTCAGCTGGGCACAATTAAAGGCCAACATGCCTTTAATTCAAGCTCTCTGGTAAACTGAGGCAGGAGGAACGCATGTTCAAGACCAGTGTGGGCAAGTTAGTGACTCAGTGGCACTGTTTCAAAGGAACCATTTTAAAGGCTGTGGTGTTCCTCAGGGCCAGGATCCTGGATTCAATCCCCAGTAAGGCCTCCCCCCCAAAAAGGACGGGAAAGCGGAGAAAAGGAAAGAAAAGACTAATTATTTTGTCGCTTATTTCTTCCAGAAAAATCTGATAACAATAAAAGAGAACGCTATTTCTACAAATCGTGTATCTGTTACTCACCGGGCCCCGGAGGCGATCGGGACCTACGGCCCGGCCTCCCAGTGGCTTCTTCCTGGGAGGAATCAGACTCGCCAGCCGAGTATCCACAGCCCAGCTGGGGTGCGTTGCCGCAACACGGCGGGCCAGCCGCTGACCCTGGGGTTCTGCACGGCCTCGCCGGGACCCGAGACACACAGAGGGTCGCTTCGGCCAGGAGCCCGAGCGGGGCAGCGCCACTGGAACAGAACAGCAGGCTGCCCACCCACAAGTCCGTCCATCCTGGAAGGTCTGCGGAGGGCGGCCAGCCTTGGCCGGCCGGCCTTGTTTATCCATCCCTGACATGTTTTGCCTGTGTAAAGTGAGGCTAGCTTCCGCATGGCGCCGGCCCAACATGGCGCCGACCTAACATGGCGCTGAACAGCGCCTCCCTTCAACGTGACTTCCGCGTTCTTTTCCAAACCCGACACTTGTACTCTCCGTTTTGTGCGCGTGCGCCAATTTCCTCTAATCAGCTGTCAAGACGTCACTCGCCCTCCCCCTCCAAACTCCACCCCCTGGCAAACGGAATAAAAGCTCGAGGCTTTTTTTTTTTTGCCCCTAGGGAGATCTTGCACCTTACGAGGCTTTTTTTTTTTTGTCCATTTTTAGCACTTGCTTTTCCACTGAGGAAAAACCTATTAGTCCCTGCCCCTTCCTAGCATTGGAAATGGGAGGAAAGGTAGCTTGGATGAAAAAGTACAAGATGAGGTCAGGTTAAAAGTTGGAGGCCCGGGCGGGGAAGGCAGGAGGGAAGATGTCGAGGGGACCTGATGGAGATGAGAAAGGAAGGGTGCTCAGAAAAAACACACAGAGGCACAGAAACCAAGGGACGCGTGGCCGTCACGGAGAGCAGGCCTTCGGGAGCATCTCGCAGTTTAGGTGACAGGGTGAAGGGTTGCAGGTGGGAGCCAAGTGCACCCAGGCGCGGAATCCTTGACTTGGCTGCAATGGCCTGCCTGCAAAGGGCGGAGCAGGAATATACGTGCCTCCTTTGCCACCACAGTCCCTGTGCCTGACAAATCGCTGGCAGCCAGGGGGCCCCTGCTCAGGCATCTTTAGGGGCTTGTGTTTTCCAGCACAGTGGGTCATTTACTGTCACTGATGAAAACAGCCCCTGAAATGGTGTATTGCAAAAATCACATGCTGCCGACTACCGGCACACACCCCCCCACCGGCACACACACCCACACATTCTCCAGCCCAGGGTGCTGATGTAAGGCTGCTTCCCTGAGTATGGGAGATCGTATTTCCGGCACATTACACTAAGGAAAGTCCTAAGCCCCTTCTAAACTTGCTTAAATCTTCTCTGCCTCTCTCAGACATCGGTGATTCTTCCAGGAGTGTGGAAGAGAGCCGCTAAGAAGATGCTTGTGTGCAGTACTGAGGATGAACCTGGAGCGTTCTGCACTTAGCTGTATCCAATCCTTATTTTTGCTTTTACTTTGGGTCTCAGTAAGTTGCCCTGGTAGGACTCTTACCTTTCAACCTTCCTGCCCAGCCTCCTCTGGGGCTGGGATTATGGGTGTGCACTACCCTCCCCAGCTGACAGGCTCCCCCCGAATCTCGTCAGGGAAGGGTAAACAGGTGTGATGAAACAGGCAGGCGATCTACAGACACATTCCAAAGTGTGTACAACAGGATACTGAAGATGGTGGTGGTATTATTTCACAATAGAACAGGCCCTCTTTGCAGTGGAAATGCTCAAAGCATGTTGGGGTCTCCCGTGGAGATCCGGAGCCCTCTGCTAAGCAGGGCTGACCCTACGAGTGCACTTGCAGGGTGGGAGGAGCCTGGCAGCAGGGGAGGAAGGCGGAGATGGAAAGGGAGCAGGGAGAGGATGGGGAAGGCGATGGGCACCTGAAACTCACTGGGAGTTGCCAAAACACTTCATGGATTCACTTCCGAGCGCCCAGAGAGAGAATTTGAATTCAAAAGCCCTCGGCTGTGCCCCAGCTCAGCCATGGAGTGCAGTGCATGGCTGTCCTTAGATGTGAAACCGTTCGCCACCTGCACTGGTGGCCTCTGCTGTCAACTGGGGGTTGCATTGTTATTTGTACCTTGTAGAGGTCTTGACTGATTAAATGAAAGAAAATAATATAAGAGCATTTCAAGAACAATCACACGTGCATGGCTGGAGCTCTTCCGGCCTGGACTCTGGGCCATGTTCTGCTGTACCTTCTCATCTGCCTTCAGCCTGGGGAAGCACGGAATTGTGGGTAGGATATTTCAAGGCAGTAAAAGAGTCTGATCATGAGCTCACATTTCTTTTGTCTTTCCAGCGTTGGGTTGGATAGCATTTGCCCTGGATGGTTATGATTTTTGACACCCTGTGAAAATAGCAACCTCACAGGGTTACTGGCAGCCTGCAGTCAAATCTCACCACTTGGGAACTTTCAAAAATACAGATTCCCATGTCTCATAACCAGAAAATTCAATGTCATGTCCAAGACTGGAGATGGGGAAAATCTGTTGGCTTTATTTCACTTTTTGTTTCTGTGTTTGTGTTTTGCAGTGCTGGGATGGAACCCAGGGCCCCACACATGCTAGTTAAGAGCTCCCCACAGAGCTGCACCCCAGCCTGGGAAATCTGTATTTTAAAATTCTGTCTGGGGGCTGGAGGTGTTGCTCAGTGGTGGAGCACATGCTTGGCTTGCACAGGGCTCTGGGCCTTGTTGCTAGCACAGGTGTGTGTACACACACGCACACACACACACACACACACACACATGGACAGGTTTCTTTTTTCTGTTTTAAAATGGTCAGGTTACCATCAAGCTGGGACAAGAGAGTTTATGATTCTGCTCCTTCTCCCTGGCTGGTTGCCTGGAAAATGTGGGCGGGTTCATGGCACGAGCTTGTGTTGTTTGTGTTTCTTTTCTCATTAGGAAAATTTTTGTTTTAATTTCAAAGCAAGCTGGTATTTTCAGACGAACTCTAATTGCTACTTGTAAGTGCCGCTCCGAGCGTCTGCGGCTGGGATCGAGATGGCCTGGCAGGCAAGAGATGGCCTGGCAGGCAACTCCTCACAGCAAAGGAGCGGCTGGGAGTCTTCTTGTGCTCTGTCACATCCGCGCAGCCCCACTTCCGAGGGGTCCAAGCTGGGTCTCTCAGGTGTTGGAGAGGGGGAAAAGGGGGCGTGTGGCCTCATTTTCTGGATAGACAAGGCTGCTAATGTTTCTGATAATCAGTGTAACCTAATGCTGGTTTCCCCAAGGGCTGTGATTGGCTTCACATAGGCTCAGTCTGGTCACCCCTGAAAAAGTGACATTTCAGACACATACTTGGTCATCAAGATTGCTAGTGGCAACCTCTGCCTGCCCGCTGTGAGCTTTAGATGTGTCCCTAGCCCACCCCCCAGTATGCTTTCTTAAATCCATGCTGAGTTATCCAGGGTCAGGGTCTGAGTAAGAGTAGAGTGATTTGGCCAGGGATTTGGCTCAGCGGCATAAGCATCTGCCTGGCAAGCTCGAGGCTGTAAGTTCAATCCCTGGTACCACAAAAAAAAAAAAAAAAAAAAAAAAAAAAGAGTAGAGTGATTTTTATTGTCCCATCTGGGTCACCAAAACTGTAAAGAGGGTTTGTCTGTTTGTTTTGTTTTTTGTCTTTTTAAGACAAGGTCTCACTATGCAGTTCAACTGGCCTTGTGCTCATTTTGTAGCCCAGGCTGGTTTTGAATTTGCAACAATCCTCCTGTCTCAGCCTCCTGGGTACTGGGATTAGAGGTGTGTTCCACCATGCCCAAATCTGTGGGGAGATTTTAAATTTCATTCTGTTTCTCTGTGACAGTTTGACAGTCCCAGTCAGTGCCATAAGCTGACAATATGCAGATGGCAGGTGGAAAGAACACAGAAAAGGTGTCACCTGCCAAGGCACAGGAGGAGCAGTCTGGTTTTGTCACTGAGGCTGGTATGGGACAGGACAGAAGCTAGCGGTAGCCTGACATTCCCCTTCGAGAGGCAGGCGTGAGGCCCTGAGACCAGAGCCCTGGGCCGGAGTGGGAGATCGGGTGCTTAGTGGGCCTTTGGGAAAGGCACTTCAGGCTCTGCCGTACTTCCTAAGCTTTGGGGGGAAGCAGTGAGAGCCATATGTCCACTTCCCAGAGACATTTTTGTCCGAGAAAGTGGTGTGGAAAGGTAGTGTTGTGGTGGGCTTCTTGGGAAGACACCGCACGTGCCCATGCCGGGGGTCTCAGGGTGGCATCTCCAGGGTTTTATCCTTCAGCCTTGTGAAAGCCGAAGTTCCCCACTGAATTCCCCTGGAAATCTCCTCCATGCCCAGCAGGGCCCTACCTGGGAAAGCTGAGTGGTCACCACCCTGTTTCATCCAGCACACACGTGTCCAGCAGAGGCACATATGTGTGCTCACTGAAAGCCAGACGGCAGCGTGTTCCCAGTGCCTGTCACAACCGCTCCACACATGCACTACCCAGGTGACCACCACAGTGCCATGGATGAGCAGTGCATGAACATGCAGAGTGCCACACAGGACGGAGAACGGATTGGCTGCATATGCGTGGAGAATTGGGTGAATTTTATAAGCACAAGCTTGAATGAAAGGTGGTACACACCTGTGACGCCAGCACTCAGGACGCTGAGGCAGGAGGATCTCGAGTTCTGGGTTACATGGATGAGACCTTCTCTCTCTCTCAAAAAGTCCCCCCCAAAGAAGCTGGAGTTAAAAAGAATCAACACCATAGGTATAGAAAGAACAAACATGGCAGCATGGCTGAGCTGAGAGGGTGGCTCTTTTGGGGTGGGTGGCGCTTGCAACTGGACGGGACCTGCGGGGCCTCCTGGGCTGTTTTTGACGCTCTGTTTCTCCATCAAAGTGATGGTTCCACCCAAAATGCGGCTGCCAGCCAAGCCTAGGAGAAGCTGTGCCCCGCAGGTGAGTTCCACAGAACCTCAAGGGTGGGTTCTATAATTCAGCTCTGCCTTCTGAAGCAGAGGAGACTGCTTCCCACCTTTTATTATTTTATTTTATATTACCTTATTTCATTTCAATTTTTTTTTAATCGGTACTGGGGATCAAACTCACGACTACGCTCTTGCAAGGCAGGCGCTTATGCCGCTGAGCTAAATCCCCAGCGCCTCATTTCAATTGTTTTGAGTCAGGGTCTTGCTGTGCAGTTCAGGGTGGCCTTGGCCTCCTGCCTCAGCCTCCCGAGCGCTGGGCTGACAGGCCTGCACCGCCAAGCCTGGCATCGCTTTCCATCCTGACCCTGCCTAGAACTAAGCCAGGGAAAAGGTGCAGCTTACACTGCAGAGAGGTGGAGCGGCCTGCTGAGGGAGGGGTGCAGAAATGAGGCGGGCACAGAGCGCACACTGCGAGCCCAGTAGTGCCCTGCTCCTGTGCCTGGGTGTGTGTGCATGAGTGTGCATGTGCACATTCCTTCTTGAAACAGCTTTAATCTGAGGGCTGGGGAGTGAAACACTTCCCTGTCATGTGCAAGGCCCTGAGTTTCATCCCCAGCAACCACAAAACAACAACAACCACCACAAAACTTTATTTTTCACAAAAGGA